AATGGCTGAAACAGGTGTTGGGCCTCTTCCCACAGCCCACCCTAGTACCTTACCGCAGCAATAGCCTTGGGGCCCTCGGCGACACTCTGGTTGAGGGCAAGGCCAGCTGTACCCGGGCGGTTTGGTGGGGTTGCTGGCTGCTGTTGTTTCCTCACGGCCATACCCATAGTATCCAGGCTCTGGCTGCGGCCCCGGATCACCCGCTGGACAAAATGGAGACAGGGAGGCAGACGAAGAGAGATACGTGGACATACACACACACAAGGAGAGTATGAAGAATGCCACAAGGAGGGCAGAAGTGGAGGGGTCAAAGCAATACCACAGAAATCATCCCTGCTAACTACAATTCAGCAACATTCATAAGACAGGTCAGTTTGGTCCCAGTTGATGTATATGCCCCAGGGCCAGCAAAAGATTGTTTCCCACGGCAACTTCTTTCTCAGTTAATCCAGTCCTCGTGTGATAGGAAGAGATTCCCTACCAAATAAATACCACAACTTTTCTGATAAGCCAGCATCCTCTCATACTACATACTACTCAGTGCAAGATAAGGGACTAACCCCTTCCACGTCCACTGTAAATCTTTGTCTTGGGCCTAAATATTGGCTACAAATAAGAAGTTACCAACCCTGGCGATCTTCAAAAAGCGTCTTGATGCCCATCTTGCTGGGGTCATTAGAGCCCAGCAGTCTTTCCTGCCCAAGTGCAATGGGGCTGGACCCGATGATCTGTAAGGTCCCTCCCAGCCCCTAACAACCATGAAGCTATGAACCAAAACCTCTCTACTCTGAAAAAAGCAGACATTTCCCACAACATTTCTCCTTTTCCAACCTCTTACACAAGTCATCTCAGCATAACAGTCACAGCAACTGACAGAAGGAAAAAGAGATTTCTGAATAGATGAAAAGTATTGAGCTGAGTCTGAAATCTTCTGTTTACAGACAGACTAGCCGTAGCAGTTTCATAGTTTCAGAGTACTTAGGGTCGAAAGGGACCTAAACAGATCATCAGGTCCGACCCCCTGCTCCTGCTGCCAGGATCATATCAGTTTGTGGCAGTTTAAATTTATGATGTGCATACACAGATTCTGCCCACGTCTCAGCCTTAACTGTGCCAACCACTCCAACAGGTACATGCAGAGGTAGTCTATTCAGTCCTCAGCAGCTCAGCTTATAAAACAAGGTGGCTGACTTCTCATCAGTCAGTGGTCACAAGGAATAAGGACACCAGAAGCCAGCCAAAAGGCCAACTCACAAGGGAATCTGAGTGGGAGCTTGTGGGGATAGCTTTTCCATCTACGTTTCAGTTGTTTCTTTCTTCTTTTTTGATGCAGAATATAAGTAGTAGGGGTATGCCAAGTGGGCAGTATTTGATTCAGATTTGGCCCGATCCAGGGGACAGTGATGCGATCACTGTCCCAATTTGACTCGGCTGATCACCAATTAGATCACTGTCCCAATTTGACTCGGCTGAATCTGAAGATTCAATTCTGATTCGGAGAATCAGTGATTTGGCCATAGATACAGCTCTATGTTTTTTTCTACGTACTTTGAGGTACCAGGCGCTGTTTGTGAATGCTGAGATGGTGGGGTGGATGGAGCATCCCACGGGAGCAGAGGGGCGTCCTCTGTGCACTTGGTGGCAGTCCCAGAAATGGACCAGAACTACTTCTGGTCCACTTCTGGGTCTTCCACCAAACACGTGGGGGACCCCCCCTGCGCTCCCCTGACTCAGTGATCAGCCATGGGGGGGACCTTGGGTGCTCCCCCAGACCCAGAAGGCACTAGTAGCCGAACTGGGGGTTGGCGGGGGAGGGTCCCCCACGTACTCCATGGCAGACCTGGAAGTGGACTGGAAGTACTTCTGGTCCACTTCTGGGTCTACTGCCGAGTGCATGGAGGACCCCCTCACACTTCCATGGGACGCACCGTCTGCCACACCATCTCAGCGTTCATGAGCTGCACCTGGTACCTCAAGGTACATAGAAAAAACATATAAAACTGTGTCTATACCTGAATCTCTCCAAATCAATTCAGAGGCTTCTGGTTTGATTCAGAGAGATTAATGGGTCTCCCGATTCGATTCGGAGACTCGGCTGCCAAATTCGGCTGAATCTCCTCCATATCGAATCAGCACACCCCGAGTAAGTACTGTAAGGGAAGAAAAGGGTTTTTTTGCTCTATGACACACCAAGGAAGTGCCATAATGGATGGAAGACACTGTAATGCAAAAATCACTGCCACTGCCTGTTCCTGAACGAGCTCTGTGTAAACGTATCTAAGTTTTCCAAAGCGTACTAGCACTACAATGATATATGTGTTTGGAAAAGAATCCACAAGAAGGGAATCTTTAAGATGCTGAAGTTATTGTGGGGCTGGAGTGGAACCAATTACTTGCTGTAACTTTTGCTGGAGCTTTTTGAGATGAACTGCTGATATACATATTCTTTCTTGCTCAGCCCCTGAAGTCTTTGACCAGAGACTATTTTTGCCTGTGGAATGTGCTCTAGTCCGAACTCCAGATGGCCTCTGTACATCAAGGGATTCAAAGGCAGTGTGCACTTCCTGCCTTACAGTTCCTTCATAAGGAGAGAGTCTCTATAACTCATGATTTTGAGGAAGAGAGGAAGGAGGGTGAAGTTCAAATGTTTATATGGATATTGTGGTCTCAAAGAGCTCAGGTAATTTCCTTCTTTGAATATTTGCCCATCTACAAATTCTCAAAGTGAGTGGCTCCAAAGCAGTTCCTATATATATCTGAAAGTGTGTCTTGGAATCCCATAGGTGAACAGAAATCTGAAGGACCACCCTGCCAAATGCAGCATCTACTTTAAAAGGTTTTCCCAATGGTGTAGTGGTTTGCAAAGGTATGGGCAGAGCTTCAGATGTCAGCAATTAAAACACTGCAAAGGGAGACTGAAGAGGTGACTTGAGGTCTGGTAGAATCGGAACATATAATCAAGGGCAGGTCTCTTTGGCAATTTCATAGCACTGTAGTACAAATACAGTAGATTTTAGACATAGGACTTGAAAGTAGACATGATGCTTTATTTTTTTGCAATATGCTTCTGTATTTAACAGAGCTTGCTGACAGCTTATGCATATGGGTTAAGGACAGCTTTACACACAGAGTTTCAAAAACTGCACCTGTTCAATGACCTAGAATTACAAAAAGATAAGGGGTTACTAAAGGGCATTGAGTTTACCACAGCTTCCCCAACACGCATGCGCCTTCATCTATCCCATAATAAGTTGAGTCTAACTTAAAAGACCCTGACATCCTGTGGAAACTTAGACGTAACGGTAAAATTGTGAAACTGCCAATAGTTGTAAGACACGCTACAGCTCTTTGTTTAGATAAGCTATAAAAGACCCTCAGACAAAGACTGAGGGTCGACACTGCTTTGGGTTATTCAACCCCTCTGTCGACCGATTGCGCAATCAATAAACTTGTAATGGACTCAGCCTGAGTGTGACTCC